ATAGCTCGTTCACTCTCTCGTGCGCACGCGAGAGTGAACGAGCAAAGTTCTTCTCTTTTTCTTTTCCTTCTAGGTATCTCGTGCACTTCCATGCCTTTTTGCCATAATCCGCTGTTTTTTTCTCAAGCTTTTCCTCAGCTTGCTTGTTCACTCTCTCATGTGCACGCGAGAGTGAATGAACAACGTCCTTCTTTTGTCTTTTGGTCCCGAATTAACTTTTTTTGCTCATTTTTTGTCCAACTTGCTTCTACACATAAGAATGCATGTAATGAGCATAATTTACTAAAAAAACTCATGTAACTTACTGTAATCACACAAGTTATGAAATATGCATTTTTGGCCGTTTATTAAAAGACAAAGCGGAAAGGTAATGGTTGTTGTTTAAAAAGCAAAATATAGGAGTTTCTGTGATGTTTTCGTCCCATAACTACGCACTGAGATTGCTTTTATTCGGCCAAACTTCAGTTGCTTCATTGCTTTGTTAAAAACTGAAAATATTTTAAATACTTATACTCACTATTAAGAAAGTTAAATCCGAGTTATTCCAAAACGATTATGGAATGCCCGAATCGTGACACAAAATAACTTTTACATTTGGTACAAGTAATGATGTCAATTTTCTTAAAGATCTTCAATTAGAAAATGGAAGAGGAGAGATAGCTTAGGTGTATTGTCCTCTTTCCAAAAGTTGAAAACTTTGACTACATTTTTGGCAAGGTTAGAAATGTTATTGTCACAAAATGAAAAACTCATTGTTTCATATTGATTTTGCCGAAATTGGATTATGGACGGCAGGCACCGACGAATTTCTAAAGCCATGCAGCAGAAGAAAAGTGTCTATTTTTTGGTCAAATTCTTTGGAATTTATATTATTGGCCTCAAAGTGAACACAGTATTTCTTACACTAAATGACAAGCTTTGTTGGAAAAATCGCGTTACAATAAGGACATGCCGAATTATATAATATGTCTTACTAGAATTATTGTTTGAAATTTCTGACTGTATATAGAACTATATTCTTTTCATCTTGTTTGATTTATTTAACGAGGCATTTTTCCTTTTTTTTTTAAAAAAAACCGAAATCTTTCTTTGAATAACAAGACCACCGATTTTAGAACATGGAAGGAGTAGTAATAAATACAAGTACTTCATTAGTGGTGGCAAACGGTAGGTCGGATCGGATCAGATATGGGCGAGTTAAAACGAATAATGTAAATGACAATTCATGTTATAATAAAGTTGTTGTAATTATCATTCAACTAAACTTTTTAATAAGTAAACTTAAGTTATAAAAAAAGACAGTTTAATACACAAATCATCTCGTGTTTACACATGGTTTGGGAAGTGCCACATTAAATGTGATTTTAAATACTGAAATGTATTATCTGAACAATGGGTTCATTTCTTGGGACGTTGAGAAACAAATTCAACTCTTCTTTAGTTATATAAATATATATTTTCTTTTCAGTTAATAATAGAATTCTTAATTTCTCAACTTGCGTGTTAGATTTTTTCAGAAGGTTTGGCGAATGAAACATGTTTGCACGTGTGAATTTTTAAGTAATCCTGCCGGAATAAAAACTTTGTTATGATTAGGTGGAAGGTCCTACTTGTTTGGCACTATAGGAAAGAAATTTTAAAGAAATCGTTCCAAATAACACTTTCTTGATAAGACATTCGTTGGTACTTTATTAGAACGACGAGTCTTGTCCCCTTTTGGAATTTTGTTTGATAGGCCAAAACTCTTAGCGGCAAAAGAAAATAAAGTTGGTTTCTTGACTTCCACTCTAGGACCTTTAAAGAGTATATATAAGTAATCAAAACATTTGTTCTATCTGAATCAGGGCCTATCACATTGAACCCTTCATATTCAAGTTTTATCTTTGATTTCTTTCCCCTTTCTTGGACCATGTGTCTACTGGATTGTGTTTAAAAATTAATATCTTTTTTCCATTTGACCTTTCCACTTTGATTCATGAATACTTCACTTTGGATAAAGCTTCCATTTCCTCTAAAATAGCTTATTAAAAACCAGATAGCAAATTGTGAAGGAGGAACAATGGCTGAAATTGCAGAGAGGTCAGTGGAAATTCAATTGGGTTGTGGTTTAATGGCAGCAATTTTTCAACTTGGAAAATCTAAGCCAAGTAAACAACCAGTGCCACCACTTCCCACCAAGTCCAGTGCCAATGATCTAACACCAATTAGGCCAAGCATCACATATTTAGACGCCAAGAAATCAGCCAAAAATCCAAGAAAACTAGGTGTGAAACATTCCACTCAACCACTCTCAATCACTCCGAGGAATTCGATTTCCCATGATCAAAAACATGTTAGGAGATCAACATCCGATGGTACGAGAATCAGCTCGAAGCAATCGTCCACTTTTTCGAGCTCACACAAAATGTCACAAGTTGTCAACTTGGCCAACACTAAAAAGCCTAGGAGGGAACCAACTTTCACCCCCTCTGACTTGACCGCGACTGGAGCATTGAACCGTGCTTCCTCCACAGGCAACATTATGTTATTAGGCCAATTAGGAAATCTGAAGCAACAAAAGAACCAAAATGGCTCAAGTGATCAAAAGACTATAGGCAGAGTAGTCTTGATGGGGAACATAGTAAAACAACCTAGTATAAGGAGCCATATGTTAAATAAATTGGACCCTGATGTGCTAAAGTGTATGGGAAATGAGCATTATAGAAATGGAAGATTTGAGGAAGCAATGGCTTTATATGATCAAGCAATTTCCATCAATCCAAGAAATGCATGTTATTATAGCAACAAAAGTGCAGCTTTAATGAGTTTAGGCCGTCTTATGGAGGCAGTGATTGAATGCAGAGAGGCCATCCGGCTAGACCCTTTTTATCACAACGCTCAATCTCGCCTTGCAAGACTATATCTCAGGTACTAAAATCATGTGATCAAAACAGAAGTTTTTAAGTAATTAGATGGTGTTCTTTACTTTAGTTGATAATATTCCCCTCAACAGATTGGGAGAAGCAGAGAAAGCAATAGATCATTACAAACAATGTGGACGAAAAGTTGAAAGAAGAGACATTGCTGAGGCTCAAGATCTTAAAAGAAGCATCTGCAATTGCATAGAAGCTCATAAGCTAAGGGATTACAGCACATTACTTAAGGAGAGCCAAAATGCAATGTCTTTTGGTGCAGATTCAGCTCCACAGGTTGAAACAACTTAGCCCTTTTCTTAATCATCAAGTTTAATTAAAAACTTTACCTGTTTAAAGATGCTTACTTTATGTTTCCACCTTCTTTTTTGTACTCAAAAAGATCATTGCAATGAGAGCTGAAGCATTGATGAAATTACAAAGACATGAGGAGGCATACATCACTATTCAGAAGGGACCTAATTTTGAAACGGAACTTTGTACTTGCCTTTTCGGCTCAACTAAAACAGCGTATTTGTTAATAATTCGAGCACAAGTTTACACATTAGTAGGCAGGTTCGACGATGGAATTGCTGCAGCTCAAGAGGCTGCGAAACTTGACTTGAGCAATGAAATAACCAAAATTTTAAGAAGAATTAAAGGGTTGGCATCAGCTCGGTTAAAGGGTAATGACCTTTTTAAGGAATCAAAATACACAGACGCTTGTTCTATTTACACTCAAGGATTAGAACAGGAGCAATACAATTCTGTTTTGTTATTTAACAGAGCAGCTTGTCGATTCAAGTTGGGACAATTTGAGAAAGCAGTGGAGGATTGCACTGCAGCTCTTGTATTACGTTCTTCATATTTAAAGGCTAGATTTAAAAGAGCTGATTGCTACATGAAGGTAAAATTACTCTTTGTACACATCTCTTTTTTTCTTTAATTTCTATTATTATTTCATAGATCATACACTAACCTGATGGGTTTTTTCCCCTCATTTTTGATTCTTGCATTTTATTACATAGTTGGAAAGATGGGAGGCTGCAATTCAAGATTATGAAATTTTGTTACAAGAAAAACCAGGGAATGAGGAAGTTAAGAGGGCATATTTAGATGCAAAGATTCAATTAGAAAGGGAGCGGAATGAGGATCAAAAGCAAAGAAAGTTAAGCAATGGATCTAATTTAGTGTTAGTCACCAGCAATTAACATTTGTCTTTATATTTTGCTTGTTTATGAAGAAGATCTATTTGGTTATTTCATGTTTAATACTAGATGAATTCTGCAATGTATTTGTATATATATTCAAGTCATTATTAATAAGAAAACAGATATAGGAAACTTTTTTTCTTTTTCCGGATTGTTTGAACATATCTTGACCAGATCATATAAGAGTAGTTAATAGCACTATCTTTTTCTTTCTCAAGCATTCGGAAATTACTTTTTATTATTTTATGTTGCCTTTTTGTGAATTTTCATGCAGAAAGAAAGTTGGTATGCCCCTTTAACTTGTTATTATAGCATTTCTGATCTTTTGTTCGGCACCCTGGCGTCAAGCTTTTAATTAATTAAGTACTAATTAATTTAAGAAAGAAGCGCAATTTAGGGAATTCATTTAGAGATAAAGCACCACATTTATTCTTTTCTATGATACATACATTTCTTCACATATCATTAAATCATACTGTAATTAACTAATAGGTTTACACCTTTATTTATAATTTAATCACAGTATTTGATATGAACATAAGGGATAAGTTTTTAGACGGTGAATATGATAAATAGGCAAATAGGAAGTGCTGTTTGCTTTTAGAAGAAGAAAGGTTTGAGCTTTTCCCTAATTCCTATATTGGATTTGGTACAACTTCAACACTATATCAGGCTTTACAAAAGACCTTTCTCAAATCTCTATATACAGAAGTTTTACTTAATTAGAATCAAGAATTGCTAATCACTTGCTATTTCATCAATTAATTACATGGGGAGAAGTCTCAGGTCATTATGAGAGGCCAAAATGGAGGGGCAACCCGAAGTATGAGTTTTTACAGTACAGTAGAAAAGTAAAAACAGTGTAAGTAATCCTATTATAATAAATACTCCATTTAAATTGTATGTAAAATTGCCAGCACCATAAATCTTGTTATTAGACTTGACACAAACATTACATAAGGTCAAAATAAGCAAATTTCGAAATATAAATTAGATCATACATAAAGCTCCCTCAGGAATACAATCATTATATTAAACCACATTTCCCCTCTAGCATAAATCTTAAATATACGGGTCCAAATAACTGAAAATTAACATATTATTATTTCCATAAATTAACCTTCACAGTATCACCAACTCAATAGGCGAAGGTACTTCACCTTCAAGCTGGAGCTTAGCAAAATTTCCTGTCATTTGCTCCTCAATTTCTTCTGATTCCGACGGGACAAGGTCATATTGATTACGAGGATCAACAACGATTTTCTCGAGCACCATAGCATTTTCCAAAAAATACCTAACGAGTTCAAGTTTAAGTTCACCGATACTTCAAAAATATCCGAAAAAACGTGATCACTTTGAGGTGATGTAGTGAACATCTTACAGTCTTCACACACTCCCATTCTCGCCTCGTGGGATTACTCCAAAACGACTGCCAATGAGAAAAATTGAACCCACAGTTACACAAACTCATATGGCAAACAATTAGTACATAGGAAATGCAGAATATGAAAATGAAGTTAATTTATGTAGTTTTTGGTATAATCAAGACATCCAAAATGATCAAATCAGACTTGACACTTACCTTCAACTCAAATTCCTTCAACTGTGGAGCCGCCCCTATGACATTTATGCAACCTAAGACACTCATGTCTTCCTTTGCTAAAACTTCTACGACAAATTTCTTGAGCTTGGTGAGTTCAGGAAATTTGTAATGCTCCAAGTACTCCTGGGAAATATTTACAACACACCAATTAGTACAAGCAATAAGTACAAGCAAAGTAAAGATAGATATACATTTGAAAATTTTGTTCACTGACCAATCCATTACAAGCATGTATTTTGAGGACCTCTAGCTGAGAGAGAACACATGAAACCCAACTCCAAGGCAATATTTCATCCAAATATGTGTGAACATGAAACCCGCAATTTCTACCTCAATCAGCATCGGGACATTACGAAGCAATAATTTGTCGCCTGCTGAAGTCACAAGTGTTACAAGGTTTGTATCACAGATTTGAAGTAATTTTACACGGTGGTAATACGCCAGTACCATATCTCCAAGCGTTTCAACTTGAGGAAAGGACCAACGACATTCAAATTTACCAGGAATATGATTGAACCACCATTTCTTCAAGAAAAGGACAATTGTGCAGGAAGAAGTCAAGAACATCTCCTGTCACATTTACAGACTTAAATAACAGTACCTTTATATGCTTAAAATTATGCAAGAAAGGCTTGAACATGTGGAAATGTGGTTGACAAGCATTATCAGTGAGATCGAGGAGTTGGGGCGGGAAAGTATAAAAAGTTTTAGGATCTCCAATCCCCACATCTCCTGTCGGATAAGTCAAACTCTAGCCTTTGCACTTGCCTAGCAAAGGCAAACTCAAGCCACTTGTCAATCTCATACTGGGCGAATTGTTTAAATGGAAACAAACACGAAATTGGTCTAATCTTTGACCTTTACACATTTGCAACGTACGGTTGACCCATCTCACATACTTCTTCATGTGCCTTTTCTGAAGCTTTTGATCCACTGCTACTTCGTCCAATTGTTTGGTAGCATCAAAATCAAGCCGAGGAACATATCTCCACAAGATTAACCAACGCTTGGAGAGGACACTGGTGTCTGCTGCTTCCTTAACGCTAAGGTAAGACAGTATATGTACAAGAACTTCATCAGGCAACTGACTAATGCGATCCTCCGGAGTGCAAACTCGTCTTGAACACTAGAAAAATAGAGAATAAAAACTGTTTCATCAAATCAATCAATGAGAAAAGAATAGTAGCAGAAGTCTTGTAGCAGGATTTACCTTCTTTAGAGCAAAATTATTGGAAAGCTGCAGCCTTTTCGCCATGAGAGTCTCCTGCAGCATAACAATTAACGGAATGAAATAAAAGTTTATATTTTTCTTTCTTCTTCCAACTACCAGAGTCAATCAGTACTAACATGGCCATAACATACTCTCAAAAATCATAAAGAAACTTATATTACGAGTACAAAATAGGTGGGGAAAAAAGTTAATTGGAGAAGACTAATAGTATATAGATTTTGAGAAGAAACTAAAACTAAAATATCGTAGTATTACATGGGAAGGAAAGAAGCAGAACAAAGATGCAGTTTGTTGATACCACCAACACGATTGCTCTTTCCGACCGGAACCCGGATTGTAAAAGCAGCCAGAACTTGCGCGCGCCGGACACCCGCGAATTACATACGTGATATTTTAAGAACTAGCTCCGTTTTACAAACTTTATTGTAACAATAGCTTCCTTTTATTTTATTTACATTGACAATTGATTCTCTTTTTCAACCCTTTCACTCTATTGCTTCTGCAACTCTTCTTACTCCCCTTCTCCTGTATATGCCCTCAGCCTTTAATTTGCTAATGTTGAGTTCCTTCGATTTTTGAACTAAACATCAAAGAATCTCAAATTCCTTTTAATTACACAAATACTCATATAATATAACTCAATTTTGAGAACATCCCTTATTTTTTTTTATTCAAGCACTTTCACCTCCTATATTATGAAAATTCTACACTCACACTCCTTATAAGGTATATCCCTAAATAGTTACACTAAAACTTAATCTCCTTAAAGGAGTTCTTTTGGGCATATCCTCTTTCATATCCCGTAGTTGAATTTTCATCTACCCTGTACCAACTACATCACCAATCACCCTCCATTCTCTTATTTGAACTAAACGTCGGGAATATTCCAATCCCACTGACTAATGAGGACAAAGTCAGACTCTACCAACCTTAAAAAAATTCCCTAATTATCAAAATATTTGGGAGGAAAATTTCACACCAAGTGTTGCGAGCAAAGTTGGCACACTTATGGAAACCAATAGAACCCCTCACCCTCATTAATTTGGGCTGGAATTTTTTTATAGTCAAATTCATTCTCGAAGAGAGCATGACTAGGATCTTGACAGAGGGCCTATGGTTTGTAGCGGGACATTTCTTATCGGTTCGCCGATGGGAACCAAATTTTGTCCCAGTAGAATATAAGATAGCCATAACAGTTGTATGGATCAGGCTATCCCAGTTGTCGGCAAAATTCTACGATAAAGCCAGTCTTGAACAAGTCGGCAACATAATCGGGAAACTCTTAAAGATCGACACATGTACCTCCTCCACCCAAAGGGGAAGATACGCAACGATATGTGTTTAAGTAGCATTGGAGATTCCAGTTACCTCTACAGTAAACATAGGCACCCACATCCAGCCCATACTGTATGAGGGGGAGGGGATTCTTTGCAAGGCTTGTGAGAGGATTGGGCATACAATTAGGTTTTGTTCCTTCAATGTTAAAACCCCATATCAAAACCCACAACCAGATCCCCACACAAATGTCCCCCCTCCCCCCGGAGAAGAAACAGCGTAGAACAGAGACGGTCAATGGAAAACTGTCCCTTTTAGGAAAAAACAAGCATCTACAATGGTAGCAGAAGGGAACAACGGCGACGACTACCCAAATACAAGTAAAGCGATTTAATTCGACATCAGGTACGTTCCTTGTCCTGAACCACAGGCCTTCCATGGGCTCCATAAATTAGGGCCGTGTTGAAAATGACTCAGGGAGCCAGCTAGCCCAAAAGGGGTGATCTCTTGACCTAAAAGGGCTAGATACCTCCCAGGGCTTCTATGACCCAGAAGCAAATTAGCCCAAATCACTAATTGGGCGCGAGTAGCCCACGTGACCCACCACATATCAAACATTCTGGTCATAAAAGGCACCTACCTAATACACTAATAAAAGATGCCTCTTTGGGCATAATACCTTACACCCACACTCACAAATTTGATACAAACAAGGTGGAAGAAGATACCTTAGGTGGACTTCTATTTGTGCCCCCCAAATCGAGTATTCTTACATAAAATAAAAATATCCCAGTCTCTCAAAGAAATACACTCATAGCCCAATCCCACTTGTCAGTGAGCCACCCCACCCTAAGGGACCTAAACATTGATCCCATTACACTCACACGCACAACCCATCTCTCTCTCTCTCTCTCTCTCTCTCTCTCTCTCTCTCTCTCTCTCTCTCTCCCCTGACGGTGCCACCTCATCTACAGGTAATCGATTACCTACTTCACATCAATCTCCCATAGTTATTAGTGAAAATCTAGCAATTCCGGTCTGAATTAGAGGGGAATGAGGGGGGGGGGAGTTATATAGTAGTAGAAATTCGGCAAACAAACAAGGAAATATTATAAAATCAACATAAATAATGAAATAATATCATGCAAAATTAGTAAAAGTCAGATTAGGGAAAAAATAGGTAAACCCTAGTTGACAGAAATCGGAGATTGGCCGGAGATCTTGGCTTGGCTAATCAGACCCAATATAGCCTTGCCATGGTTCACATGGACGAGATTTTGTCCAGATTCAAGCGATTGAAGTTGAAAAGACCCAAATCTAAGAGATAGTACTTGCCAAGTTTAGGCAAGTACTAAGTGATACCATAGCCTTACAAGTAGTGCCGATATAACACATAAAAGGTAAGAAAATCATGGAAAGAATCCATGATTGAGACAGATTTGGAGAAAATTGAGAGGTCGACTAGGGTTTCTGAGGAGAGGAGAAGAGAGGATTCAAAGGCGGCGTCTGGGAGGAAATGATAGGGTTTTGGGGCAGGTTAGGTTAATTAAAATGGGTGAATGACTATGGGTCGTTGATCATTTGAGATCAACGGCCAGGGTTAGAGGAGAAGCGGGCGGGTCGCGGAACGGGTCCCGGCTGAGTTATAACTAAAGGGGTCATTTGGTCTTGGGCCAGGGGGTTGGGATAAGTATATTGGGCCAATTTTGGTCCAAAAATTAGTTTAAATCTGGGCTATTATTTAAATAGGCAATATTTATCGAAAGTAATTTATAAAAATAATTAATAAATAAATAAAAATATTATTTATGTACTAAAATGATTAAAAATAATAACTTAGTATTATAAAAAATATAAAATGCTATTTTGACTCAAATAATATAAATAAAGAGCATTTATGTATGAATATGGGCTATTGCTGCAAAATTGTACAAATAGCCTTTAAAATATTAATGTAATTATATATAAAAAATAAAGTAAAATATTTGAAACCTGTGTTATAGGTGCAAATAATAATTTTAGGTAATATCACAAAATAATTTGAAGAAATAATTAATAAGTATTCAAGTAATTTAAGTACAGGGAAATCAATTTAAAAACTTTAAATATTATGAAAAAATATAGAAAATGCTCGTATAGATTTGTAAACTAAATAATGATGCAAAAAATGATATTTGAAAGTATATATATTATTTGAGAAAATATGAGGGCAAAATTGGGTATCAACAATATATACGAAGATATTTACAAGGACCGATCAGGGTCCCGCACAAAAAATCAAAAAAGAAAAAACCTAAGATTCCTAATTTTCCTCAGGGGTGGTTTCTTCTCCATCGAGGTCCTCGCCATTCTCGGACCCGATCTTGCTGCCATCATCATCATCATCATCGGAAGAGGCCAGCACTCTAGCATCAGCTTAATACTCTCTAGCCTTTATTATCTCGTCGGTAAGATCGAAACCTCGAGCGTGGATCTCCTCGAGGGTTTTCCTCCGAGATTGGCATTTGGCGAGTTCAACAATCCAATGTGCTCGAGTTTGAGCGGTCTCGGCTGCCTCTCTCGCTTGGACTTGAGCGGCTTCAGCATCGGCCTGGTAGACGACCAGGATCGCATCTGCCTCGACCTTTTCCTTTTCAGCTTCAGATTTGACCTTTGCAAGTTCGGAAGCCAACCGAACCTTGAGCTCCTCTATTTTCTTTGCCTGAGCCGAGCTCTTCTCCTTCGTGCCTCGAAGCTGACTTTCGACCAATGATAATTGGGCTCGAGCAGTCTCTTTTTCTGCAACAAAGCAGTCCATACTTTCTTTCCACCCTAAGTCTCTGCCTTCATCATGTTGACCTCCTCGTGGAACTGCCCGATCCTCTCGACCTTCTGCTTCAGCTGTGAGATTGAAATGTTAGCCACCGTTCCTAAATCGAGCCCATGAGCTTTTAAGATTTTCCTTACTTGCTCGATCAGGTCGGTCTGATCTTTGTGAGCTGTGGCCAACTCGGCTCGGAGGTCCTTGATCTTTTCTTCTTTTTGCCCACCGAGAAGGTTGAGGGAATTCCTCTCCTCGGTAAGCCTTTGTATGTCGGCCTCATACCGACTCAGCTCAGCTCAAAACCGAGAAAATGCTTCCCGATAAAGCGCAGAGGCCTACGCAGAAAGAAGAAAAAAAAAGTTAGACATGAAAAGAAAAATAAACACAAGGTTAATACCAACAAGGGGAGTTAAGGCTTACCCAATTCAGAGCTTGCTGCGCTTTA